TATTAAATCATGAGATTATAAAATAAGGTTTTCTTTTAATTAATCATAACGAAGATTGTTTAATTACGCTGTTTGGCTGTCTTTGTAATTTGCTTAATGGTTGAGTTTCCTAAGTCGGTGAGTCTTGTTGCTCAAGTTTAGGTACCTTAACGCCTGTCCGAGACTGGGTTAGAACTTCTGACCAGAAAATTTTCAATGGGAAAAAATGAAAAATCACCGATGCATCTATCAAGAAAATGACTTGTGTCTTGAATTTCTTGTTTCCCAAGTTTCCTTTACCTCTGGTGAATTCCGGTAACCGGTTCATTCCCTTCCGCCAATCATCTACTCACCTAAATAAAATAATTTAATTTAAAAATTTACCGACGAAGTTTAGTTGGAAAGTTTGTAGTAATATTATTATTCTATCTGTTTTACAATGATAATTATTTTTAATTTTAAATTTATTTTAAAATAATTATTTTTAATTTTTAAAATAAATAATAATTTTTTCCTTTACTGTAATTCTATTATTTATTTATTTTATTTAAAAATTTTATTTTTTTAATTTTTTAAAAATAATAGAAATATTTTTTAATTATTTTTTAATTTTTTATTTTATTTTTTTTTAAAATAACCATTATTATGAAATAAAAATAATATTAAAACATTATATATTTTAAATTACACAACTTTAATTATTAAATAAAAATAAATTTTATTTATTTTATAATTTTTATTTTATAATTTTATCTAATATAAATTATAAAATAAAAAACTCAATTATTGTGAGCCCCTGAGTTAGCACAGAGAAACTAAGCCATAACTGTACTAAGGTAAAGAAATATCAAAATATCCTGCAATTTTATTAATTGCAGACTAACTTTATTTAAAACAGATACATTGCATTGCCATAAGAAATATTAGTAGCGCTGGGTAAAATTGCATTCATGTCTTGTCGGTTGGGAAGTTGTGAACTTAACTTTAATTTTTTTTAAATGGTTTTTTTTTTTTAATTTGTGTTGTTAGATACCGGTGAAAAATGTAATTAATATATTTTTAATAATTAATTTATATTAAAAATAAAAATTAAATTTTAATTTATTAATTATTTAATGAAAATCATACCATTGACATTAATATTAGAATTAATATTAATTTTTATATTTAATGTAAATTAAAAGTTAAAAAATATATTAATTATATTTTTAATATATATCTTATGCCACAAGTTCAAAAAATCCTAAAAAATATGTATTTTGATTTTCTTGTGATTTAAAATGGTGCACTTAATTTTAAATCATGAAAATGCTTTTGATCTTTATAATTTAAAAAATATGTACTAAACTCTCGAATATTAGTAATAATTTATCTTCAATATTTAATAATTCATTTTTGAGGATTAAGTACATATTTTTTACTAAATCATAAAAGTATCAAATAGACATTTTCATGATTTAGTGATTACTTACATATTTTGAAAGAGATCAAATATATATACAATTTTGTAATTTGAAAGGGTTAAGTATATGAGTGGTATTATATGAACAACTTTTTTATATCACTTTTTATATAATTTTTATGTGTTATTAAATGAGTATATGCGTTTAATATCATAAATTTTATGTGAATTAAAAAAATTAATTATTTAAATAACATGTTAAATTATATAAAAATCATTATCCTAAATATATTTACCCCAAATCATATCTACCAAGTGCCAATACTTGGTAATCGTATCTTGACAAATTTCACTAAAACGTTGGAACGATGACATACGCAGCGGACGTCTCGCATCGGGTTAGTATTTATACAATATTTCATCTATTGACTATCTAAATAATTAAATAATATGCACTTGGCCTTAGAGGTCCAATATCACTAATTATTGAAAAGTGCAATATCACTAATTATTGAAAAGTGCATTTTCTCTTTCCTTGGCAAGGTTTTGAATTGCTTCATGTAAAAAAACGTTCCAAAAAATAATAATAATAATTTTATTTGCAATTCCTCATGTGATCAAGCAGTGGTCATACTACCCATTAAATAGCAGGTGAAATGCACCAAATTTTAAGATTTGACTTTTTTTAACAGCAACAAATACTAATATTTAATATAACTATTTTTTCCTTTAAAAATAAGTAATAATTTTATTTTAATAAAATAAAAGGTATTGAGTTAACTCCAATGGTTGAATTTATTTATAAATAATTGTCATCTTATAAATCAAATTTAAAACTTAAATTTTAAGACTAACACCTAAAAAATTAAATTATCTTATTTTAATTAATTAATGTTAAAATTAAAATTAAATTAATTTTAATATTAGTGT